GTAAACGCCCTTCATCCTCTCTACCCAGCCCTAACCCAACCAAAAAGCACAAAGCCTCAGGCGTACCTTTGTCCCCACCCGCTAAATCGAAATCGGTAAAGTTTGTTTCCCCATCTGAGGGGAAGCAGGGCAGTAGCATGCCCTCTATTTTGCAAGTCCCACCGATGTCTATCTCCACTTAGAGAATCAAGATCGTACCCTCGCACCAAGCAACCTTCTAGAGGTTTGTGGACCTAGCGGTGCGAGCTAATTATAGAGCCATCAACGGCAGAGACGCCTACCTGGAAAAGGGGTTCAAAGTAGCAGATATGCCCCAGTTCGTTCAGGAGGGAGCAAAACAACTGAAGTGGGCTCCATTTATGTGTGTCCCCTATCACAGTGCTGACAGAGCTTGTTTGGGAGTTTTACTCGAACTTTGATATTGATATGGTAGGCAACACAATTGTGAGGGATGTCGAGGTGGATTGGATGCCATAAAGGATGAACAAAATCCTCAAGATCCCAAACAACCCACAAGCTGCCTTTAATGAGCTAGTCCAACAGCTCTCCATTCGCGAGCTTGACCATGCCCTGTAGCTGGTAGAGGCAGCAGAGGCCTCATGGTGAGCGACTGATAAAGGCGTTCGCTAGCTCAAGTCTGGTCAAGTCACATCAGAGGCCAACGTCTGGCTCTACTTTGTCAAAGACTTGTTACGTCCAGACAACCTTGTTGACAACACGTGCAAGTGTACACGAAATTGCCTATTGTAGCACAAAACAAGGTCGAATCCACATAGACTTTGTATTATACTCTAACCTATGTTCGTATATACCAAAATGTAAAAACAATAAAAGATGATTGTGTTGTATGTAAAAGAAATATAAAAAACAAACAATAAATGATCTCAACAACAGACACACTTCAAAAAGTCGATAATAAAAAGAAGTTACAACACTGAATCGGTGAATGTGGGGTTAACATATATGGAAAGTGGGGGGAGACTTAACATGCTTTCACTGACCTTTCAACCTACCCTCTAGCAAGAAAACATGCAGTAGTGCTCAACTCGACATGATTCCCTTCCGAGACACCCAAACATGAATACGCACAACTCCGGTTTCTAGGTTTCCAAGTAATATACACAAGTTCTAAGCATGATTAGGGGAACCCATTCTTGGGTATCCACAAATTACTAGAAAAAAAGTAACTAATCACAAACAGAGCAAGTTCAGCTACCTGTAAGCCCTTCCGAGTCATACATACGTTAACATACAGAACAAAATGGCCAAAAATGTTAGGTAAGACTTAAGAAAGAAAATACAACTCTATTTAATAACAAATGAAATCAGCTGGAGGTTTGGTTGCTTATCAGCTACAACTTGTGAATGTCCCTCGAAATGGGGATTAGTTTATGAAGAAAGAAGAAAATGCAATGGGTAAAGGAAGAAGACAACCCATTTCAAGAAAATAGAATAAAAACGAGGATGAAGATGACAGCTCGAAGCAGCAGTTGAATATCCTCCCATGTCGTCAGCTTTTTCCCCGAAAATGGAGAGCTTCCTATTCTTTGCCGTTTTAGCTCTCAAAATTCTGTCTCTATTCGGATCTATGTGTGTCGACTAGGGTTAACTGTTCCTTTTATATCGGGTCCCAATTTTAGGGCATCCAGCTGCAGGTTATACGGGCATGTCAAATTCTCGTGTCTGGGCTATTAACTGCAGAGTAAATCCATGCTCCAGCATCCAACTATTCTGCCTTGCAAATGCTTCATCCGTTCTTATCTGCGCTTAGCATCCTCTTCATGCTTTGTCTTCTTTTTCCAAACATGTGCATTTAAGTGAGAAATAAGATAATTTAGCACAATTTTTAGCCAAAGCATTCAAGACGGTGACTTTTAGCTTGAACTTCACTTTCTAATATTATCTACAATATTTAAGAGCTAAAATGGACACACTTTGTCAATTCTTTGCACAGAAACACCGAACTATACACTAGAATAAGTCTCTTTTGTAGAGTTATCACACCCCCAAACTTAATTTACCCCTATTCACAAAAGCAGAACACTAGAAACATGTACTTCAAACATGCAGCCCTATGCCTCAACCTTTAATTTTGATAACAAATGGTATAACTTACATACTCTGCTAAAGTACTTCAGCTGGAGAAAAGAAAAGAAAGCAGCCTAAGTTTGTTCGCATGATGGAGGACGCTAATTTCTGCCCAACTCTAGCTTCCTTCTACTTCCTAACCTCAAGTTTAACTTCTCCTAGGGATTCCTTTCTCAAGCCTCTTTCACTTGCCTATACCTTTGACCTTTGCACTACCAACTTGGGCTTCTTTAACTATGGGCTACTAGCCCTTCCTAATCCTGCAGCATCTTTATGTTATAGATACGGGCTGCCAGCCCCTCATTTGTTGAAGAATTTTTTTAAGGGCTAAATTACAAGATTAGAAAGATTCATGGTTATATACAAATGCTAATAAAGGTATAAGAACTAAAAGTTCACTCCTACAAACTTAAGAGGTTGCATTATCCTCAGTGAAGATAAGGACATCTAGAAAGTAATGCTCCAGCACATCCCCAAACTTAAAGGGAAAGTAAGATGAGAAGTATAGGATGTTCGCTATGAAGATATATACATGAGTGTGGATGTCTAATGCTAACAAATAAGGGGATCTAATAGAAGATGTCCAGGCTAGTTGTAAAAGGATAAGGGCTGGCGATGGATAGCTAACCATTGAAATCCTTCCCTAAGGTAAGCGCTACCTTAGGCCAGTACTATGAGAGGGATGCTAGGGCATCGGCAAGCAAACATGAACCAGAGGGCAAACAAAAGAAAACTAACACTCATTAAAATGCTCCCGCATCAACAAGAAAAAATGCGCACTAGCAGGCTTTATTATCGAGACTATATATACAAGTCAGGACAAAGGGCAGATGATGAGAACACATAGTTTGAAAATGCCAGATATACTTTTATCATTCAATAAAGTTGTTATTGAAGGTTTTAATCAATAAGTAGTTATTGATCCAATGAAATGTTCTTACTCGATCTAAATCCAATAAACTAAGGATCCTAGACTATTACCTGAGCTCAAAATTTATGTAGAGACATAAATATGGATCAAGTTTGAGTTAACAGTCTAAATGGTCTATAGTATAGGAATAAGGTTGGGCACTTTATTTTTGGGACACTATGGATGCGGCCCACTTTGTAGCTAGTACAAACGATGTGATCCTAATTCGTTCATGTGAAGACATGCGAGTGGGGGCATCCCGTTGAAAGAGTTTGCATAAGACCGGACCATGAGATAGTCACTTTTACTTTATAACACCATTTACTGTTTGAAACTGACTATCTCGACTTTGATGGCCTAGCTAACTCGATCTTAATCCTGAGCTAACTATGAACTTCTATTTACTCGGGATTATCCTTAGATCTACATGGGTGAGAGCAGCTCAATAGCGCTGGCTCAATAAGCCTCCCATTTCAAGGGTAAGACCCGGTAAATAGCTAGGGATATAGGGTGCAAGAAAAAATTCACTTCTACCCAATTGTGGGATAGTAGAGAGGTTGTTCTCTTAAGTGCTGAATCAAGGTATTGAACAAAAGGTGCCACCCTCATCAAAAGGTTTGAGAGGACTTTTGATTTGATAGTTTGACTACAAATCATTGTTCATTAGAGGATCAGTGGGACTTAAGGAACAAGAGGTAATTACTGGGGTAAAGCGGTNAAGAGTTTGCATAAGACCGGACCATGAGATAGTCACTTTTACTTTATAACACCATTTACTGTTTGAAACTGACTATCTCGACTTTGATGGCCTAGCTAACTCGATCTTAATCCTGAGCTAACTATGAACTTCTATTTACTCGGGATTATCCTTAGATCTACATGGGTGAGAGCAGCTCAATAGCGCTGGCTCAATAAGCCTCCCATTTCAAGGGTAAGACCCGGTAAATAGCTAGGGATATAGGGTGCAAGAAAAAATTCACTTCTACCCAATTGTGGGATAGTAGAGAGGTTGTTCTCTTAAGTGCTGAATCAAGGTATTGAACAAAAGGTGCCACCCTCATCAAAAGGTTTGAGAGGACTTTTGATTTGATAGTTTGACTACAAATCATTGTTCATTAGAGGATCAGTGGGACTTAAGGAACAAGAGGTAATTACTGGGGTAAAGCGGTATTTTGACCCAGCTGTAATTACGAACAACCTGTGAAATGTCGACTTACCGATCACGGTTATATCAAATGAACATAATATATCTACAGTGAGGATAGTGCGGCTACGGGCTTTAGTGGAATGACCCGGTAGTTAACGAATGTTTGTTAACTAGGTTAAAGAGTTTAACTGATTAATCTCGGATCGTTGGAACTCATTATCTGTAGGTCCATAAGCTCCCCTGGCTAGCTCATATAGGAATAAACTTGGAATAATTTGAAGGAATAATTCGAATCGTATGAATTAGGATAATCATATGAGATATGATTAAGTAATTGATATATGATATCAATTTGAGAAATTAGGTCAAAATATTTAAATAGGATTTACATATTAAAATTATGAATGCAGATTCATAATCGGAGGCATTGATTTCGTCAAACAGTCGGATTTTGGAAAAAGTCAAATAGTTGACTTTGACCAGAGAAAGTCAAAGGTTGACTAAGAAGATTAAAATAATGTTTTTAACTAAGTTGGTGGAAAATTCCACTAACTTGTTGAGTGAAACATTTAAATAATCTCAAAAATCCACTTTTTGACACTTAACCATGCATGCATGAGTGGAATGTGTGTTGTAAGCTTTTGGTGTACTTAAACATGCATTTTGACACTTAGTCATGTCATGCATGAGTGGAATATGTGTTGTAAGCTTTTGGTGAGCTTAGACATGCAAGAGTTACATGTAATTTGTCTATTTAAAAAGGTCTTTGTTCAAACATTAAAAGCTCTTAGAACCTTTGGCCATTTGATGTTTTTTTTCAAAAAGCTTATATAACTCTTTTTAGCGTCACATTTCTCTAAATTTTTCCTTCTCTAAAAAGAGTCCCACCACTCTATTCCAAGCCTTGAGAATAGCTAGGAAGATCTCTTGGTGGCCCTCATTGGAGCTATTTGAAGAATTTTGAAAAGCTACAAAGGTATGTATTTTTCTCTAAGCATCATAATGTATGATCATGCATGTTTAATCCTAGGTTGTATTATGCATCTAGATTGTTATTTCGATCCTTGCTCGCTTCCGTTGCGCATGTACGTATATTATCCATCAAAAGACCGGAACATCTCTGCAGGCAAAGTTTGGTGATGAGACTAGGGAAGAAAAGGTGGCTGGTTTTCTTGGAGGCACACTGGGCAATCTCCCTGTGAATGAGTTGTTTGACATGTATCGAGCACTCGTCCAAGACGCGGCCTAACAGAAGGACCCTGTCCTTTGTAATAGACGAATAATGCATTGTGGGTATGACTTGGCTCTTGACGAAGTAGAGCCAGAAGTTGGCCTCCGATGTGAGTGGACCAAACTTGAGCGAACGGACATCTTTATCAGTCACTTACCATGAGCCCCTTCTACCCATACCAGCTGTAGGCCATGGTCAAGCTCACGAATGGAGGGCTGTTGGACTAGCTCACTGAAGGCAGTGTGCAGGATGTTGAGGATAGTTATTCCGGTTCACCCTATAGAGCCTATAGATTGGGTGTATTTCTTGTTTTAGTCACGGCGGGAGTCGGGTTAAAGCATGTGTTTAGTATCTCGAGAAAGAGCCGTGAATATTTGGGTAATCAACATTTTAATTTAATTTTAGATATCGTTTCTTAGAGAAAAATAGCAAGTGGAAATCCCCTCCCTGATTTACTAACAAATCGTAATCTCTTTTATTTACTCGATTATTTGTAGTTATATTTGTGTTTCTTTTCCTTTGCAACCATGGTTTGCGGTTTCGCTAAAGATGTGAAGTGAAAGTGCCCTTATGGTAACTGCCTATCTAAGTTTGGGTCGAGTCCGAGCTCCGAGGTCATTGATACGTCCCCATAAGTGGTGATCCGTGAGAGGTTTGCGAGGACGAAGCCCGTAGTGAAGATGAGGGATGTCGAGACCTCACTTGAGGTATTTGATGTTTCACCTCTTCAAGAGGTTCAAAGGAAGTCTCCATCCAATAAATCTAAGAATAATAAGAGAAAAACTATCTCTTCTGATGATGTCGTGCCCGAGGTGAGGGTAGACGGCATTACTGGTCTTGCGAACGATCCCAAAGCTAGGGTAGGGGCAACGTTCGACATTTATATGAGGTTCAAAATTGAACCTTCAAGCGCTGGTATCAAGGAGAAGGTGGCAAAAACGTCCAGCGTCTGCTTTGATCGCGGCTTGCAGCAGGCGTCAAAATTTGTCATCGTCCCTAGGTCGGGCATCAAGAAGATTATCGACTACACAGTCAAGGTACGACCTTCCGCCCTTTTTGATTTCAAACTTGGATGTTCAAGGCTAATGAGTCTTTCTTTGTTTTTGTGCAGGTGCATGCGGTCAGCTGCCATGCCGCCATCATTATGAAGTCTAAACTGGACGACCGTGACCTCATCATGGTAAACGAACGCGAGGCCTTCTCTGTGGCTTTAGAGGTTGCTACTACTCTCGAAAGGGAGCTAAAAGAAGCAAGGGTCGAGAACGAGGTCCTCAAGTCTAAACTGGAGGCTAAGTTCAAAAGTGATGAGAATGAGGTGGAGCACCAACAAGAGCTATTCAAGTCCACATATGTCATCGTCAAAGGGTTGGAGAATGAAAAATTCAAGCTGATGAGGCGCAATGATCATCTTACTCGTGATGCCAAGACTCACCAGTCCGAGGTAAAAGAGTTGAAGGTTGAAGTGGAGCTACACAAGGCAAAACTCAGCAATGGTGTTCTTCTTGAAGAAGCCTTCCAAGCCCATCTTGACTTCGATGTGTTTGTGAACGACTTCAGCGATGTCGACTTCAAATTTCTAATGAAAGGCATCATGGAGGTAGCCCTTGATCTCGACCTCGAACCGGTCAAGCAGACATACACTAAGAAGTGGGCTTCTGGTCCAATTAAAACTCTTGGCCCCTAGAGTTTGGTGGACAGGTATGTGAGGGATCTCAACTCGAAGGCTGAGGACGATGACGAGGAGGAAGATGACCTAGCCCAGAAAAGCGATGTTGTTCGCACCACACCATTGGTGAAGATGGGGTGTTCTTTATGCTCCTGCTGCTCCCTCGTCTCAAGAAGCTGGCCTTTGAGACTCCAAAGAGCTTCACTTCCTAGCTTCCCAGGCAGAGCTCGGGTCGCACCTCAAAAACTCCTGATTGACCCCCAACTATCTTATGTTTCTAATGCTTTCTTTTGAAATGAATGAAAAATACTTTCTTCAATTTGTCAAGTTTTATCTTGGATGTTCAGCCGACCTTTGTGTCGCACCTCGTGCATTGTACTTTATTGTAAAATAGTTTTAAATTATATCTTTTCAAATCGCACCTTGAGATCTGTAGCATGTGGCCCCAATTTGATTTCAGGTCGAACGTACTCGTTACAAAATAAGGCTTGGAATCAAATTCACAGAATTCCTTTATTACAATTACACCCTGAAGATTTACACTAGTCCAAAGATTTGAACTATTTTACAATTCAGGGTAATAACACTTCAGGTGCTCTACGTCCAAAGATGTGGGAGTAGATTCTCTTCCAAGTCGACCAACATGTACCTGCCTGGATCAACATGCTTTTGAACCTATCGAAGGACCAGATATCCGACTTGGAAACTCCTAGGTTGGACTCGTGCATTGTAGTGTCTTGTCATTCGGTTCTGGTACTCCGCCAACCGTAGTTGCCACATTTCCATTTTTTCGTCCAAAAGGTCCAGGTAGATAAGCAGCTCTTCCTCGTTCCTGACTTGGTCGTAATAGTTAATCCTCGCTGTAGGCATTCCTATCTCGATTGACACCATAAACTCAGAATCGAAAGTCAAGGAGAAGGGGGTTTCTGCAGTCGACTCTCATGGAGGTTTATGATAGCACCAGAGGACTTCGGGAAGCTCCTTGACCCATCGTTCCTCCCTTGCGTCCAATTTTAGTTTGAGGCCACACTTGATGATTTTGTTGATTACTTCAACTTGTCTGTTTGTTTTACGGTGAGCAGGGTACGGAATCAGATGGCTGATGACTAGCTTCGCATAAAATTCTTTAAACTTTGTATTGTTGAACTGCTTGCAATTGTCAGTCATAATGGCATTTTGAATGCCAAGGTGGCACACGATGTTTGTCTAGATGAAGGTTATAACCTTCGCCTCAATAAGGGTTGCGAGTGCCTTAGCCTGAACCCATATGGTGAAGTAGTCCACTACAACCACAGCAAACTTCGTTTGCCCTTTTCGCATAGGGAAAGATCGATTAGATCCATTCTCCACTGGGCAAACGACCATGGGTAGTAATAGGGGTCTAGCAGTTGTCACACGTCTTCACAAACTACTGCGCGTCTAAGGTTGGCGAGTAATAACCTTGTCGGACTACTTTAGTAGCCAACAACCTGGCCCCCGAGTGGTTTCCGCATACCCCTTCATGTACTTCTCTATGGACGTAGTTTCCATCTTTGGGAGTAAGGCACTTCAAAAGTGGGAGGGAGAATCCACGTTTATAAAGAGTTCCATCTCAGAGTATGAACCGAGCTGCTCTTCTCCTGACCTTCTTTTCTTCTCTTAAATCCGCTTGAGTCTTGGGCTGTTAGAATTCTCAATATATGTAATTTGATTGATGTTGGGCTTAAAATTTGACGTTTTTTAATAGGAATTGAAGAATCTATAATGGCTAAGCTTAGTACTGCAAAGACTGGTGATGAACGATGCTGGAGCCTGAATCATAGAGTGTCTATTCGGGAGCCTGTGGAACTTTGGATGCTCTAGCTCGTGTGACTGTGTAGTAACTAATTGCAGCAATTTTTACCATTTCCGTACAGCTTCCAGGTGTTGCCCTAACTTTAAAGACCCAATATAAATAGGAGAATAGTGCACAATCGCCAYAGAGAGCCCTAGAACAAAAAATTAATTTGGGCATCGAAATTAGAGAACATTTCCTGCCCATTTTCAGCAGGAGCCGACGAGGAAATAGTCGAACCTTGGGTCATCACTAAGCTGGGGGAACCTTCACTGCTGCATAAGCTCCTTTACTCAATGGGCTTAATTTCTCTTATACCCATTGTTTTATTTTATTTCAGCATGAACTAAACCCCACCTTCAGAGGGGGATGAATTTGTTGTAGCTTGTTACTGACTATGTTTGAGTAGCCCCTAAGACTGATTCAATAGAAGTGTTTTTATTCGTTAATCTTATTGATTTTATTTAGCCAACTTTATTGGCGTTTTAGCTTGCTTGAGGCTCGAGAGAGTCCTTGTTTAGTGTGATTGCTTCCATTAACTTTAGATTTCTCTCTTTGAAGTAGGATGTTGCATACTCAAGGATGAGACTCATCCTATTGTACCTATATAATGCCTTTATTGCTTGCTTTCCGTGCAACTAGAGTTGGGTTTGAGCAGGTTTGGGTATCTCATGAGAGTATTATGGTCTACTAAAGCATTGTTAGTGGTGAGTGAAAGTATTAGAGTGAATCCCCCACAATTTACTTTCATATTGTGTCACATAACTCGTTTCAGTTTATTCTCTGTTTCAGATGCTCCAGCACGTAATCGTGGAATATTTATGTTCTTGCTCATTTACTGTTTCTGTCATTTACTGCTAAAACATTCATAATTCTTAAACATCTTATTTTTAGTTTTCTTTTCGGCATTATATTTTACAACTTAAAATTTTAGTCTTAGTCCTTATCGATATGACCTTATTTTATATTACAACTGATTATTTTGGTGTACAATCACACCACTTTTCACGTAAGTTGTGGACACACAACACTATACACCTTGATGTATTTTGCTCAAAGTTCTTTGGCCATGTGCAGTCCGGCCAGCAACGCCTCATACTCGACCTCGTTATTGGAGGTACGAAAATTGAAACGTAGGGCATATTTGAAGTGCATGTCGTCTGGTGCGAGCAAGAGCACACCTGCACTGCGCCCTATATCATTAGAGGAGCCATCAACGAACACAGTCCATTGGGGGTCACCCTCCGAGTTCGAGGTTACAGGACGGTGTAAGCTTGGCGATGAAATCAACCATTGCTTGGCCCTATATCATACTCACTTAGCTCCCCGCCCATTTCATCAATCAACCAGAGGTCTATGGCTTATGAATGACCTATTTCAAAGGCAAGTTGGTGAGCACGATGTTAGGGTTGACTTTTTACTGTAGAAACATGTGTTGGTAGCCTTGTTTAACCATGTTTTTTACCCATTTCCAATCATTTATTTGCCAAAAATGATTACATATTTTTAAAGTAGAACATGTATAGAACATTTTTGCATAAAAGTCAAACTATGATTCTTTAGGAAAATTATGAGAAAAATGCGGTAAAAGTTGGAAGAAAATAATAGTTTTCTGTTTTGCAGGAATTGCGCCTGGCACAATTTTGGAGGACAAATTGTCAAAACGTGTGTTTTCATTAATGAGGGGCAAGGAGGACATTTCCCATGCGTTTGAATCAAAGTATAATTCTGAGTTGAAGTAAAATGGGAGTGGATAGGTGTATCTCAACTTATTTCCACCTAAAAGATGGGAAGTTCAACAACTCTAACGGCCTATATAAGAAAGTCATTCATCCAGCTGCAAATCATCCCTCTAAAGCTCGTTTTCAGCTGCATTTACTTTCTTCTTGGATTCGACCCTGGATTACTTTTGAGTATTACCTGTGACCGTGTGCACTTGCACGAGTCTTTAATCTTTTTAAAGGTAGAGAAAGTCCCAACAAGTTTTTGGCACCGTTGTCGGGGACTTATTTTTCAAAATCATATTATTTTAAAGTGAATTGTTGTATACCTCTGTCATTGGACTTAATTGTTATATCTAACCTTTAAGGGAGTTGTGTATGAGCACAGGGTCAGGTTGGTTGATCTTTAATCCAGAGATTGAAAGAACCCTTAAAAGGATTAGGCCTGCCTAGAGGTTGAGAAAAGAAAGAGAAAATGAAAAAGAGAAAGAAGGTGAAGAAGAGACCATCGAGATCCTCCACCTCCACAAAATCCACCTATGAACAGATATATGGCAGGTGAAGGAGCAGCAAACTTAGCAGAAGAATTGCCTAACCCAATCCTATTAGCTGATAACCGAGTGGTAGCCATGTGGAACTATGTCGCGCAGTTCGAGCTGAGTCGCACAGTTCGAGCTGAAGCTAGTCATGTTCCAGATGTTCCAGACGATGGGCAAGTTTAAATAATTAACTAATGATGATCCTTACTCCCATCTCAAATCTTTTATTAAAATAGCTAATGCATTTCAACTTCCTAATGTCTCTGAAGGATGCACTAAGACTAAAAATGTTTTCTTTTTCTCTCAGGGACGGTGCAAGGACTTGGCTAAGTGCTAGAACCAAATCTATCACCACGTGGGCGGAACTGACGAAGAAATTCTTGGCAAAGTACCATACGTTGACCAGGAATGCAGACCTTCGAGAACGAAGCAGTACAAGAAGCTTGGGAGCACTTGAAGGACTTACTCGGAAGATGCCTGAGACATGGATTGCCCGCATGTGTGTAGATCGAGCAGTTTAATAGAGGATTGGATAGTTCATCGAGAATGATGTTGGATACCTCAACCAATGGCTATTTGTTAGAAAAGTCGGTTAATGAGATCGTTGACATTTTGAACGAGATGATAGAAATTAATTATAAAGGAAAAATAGGAAGATCACTGCCAAAGAAGCATGTATCAGCTGCAGTCTTTTAGTTAGACACAGTAACCTCAATGCAAGCCCAAATGGCAGCTATAAACCAGATGTGGAAACAACTGACAATAGAGCAGAAGACCAAATCCGCCACTTCAGCGATTCTTGAACCTTCTCCTATTTTACAAATTTCAGATATATTTGTGTTTATTGTTGTGATAACCACTTGTATGAGAACTGTCCAGCTAATCCAGCATATATTTTCTATGTAGGTCAAGGCGTCCAGCGGAACTTCAATCTGTATCAAACACTTACAACCCTGGATGAAGGCACCATCCAAACTTTTCTTGGAGTAACCAAGGAGTAGCAAGTAAGAGTGTGCAGCACCTTCTCAACAATACAAGCAAAACTACACTCCTCCGGGTTTTCCCATGCAACCTGCATTGCCGCCACAATAGTATAATCAACAAAAAGCTCAAAATAACACTCAGTAAAGTGGTAACAATTGAAATTTAGAGGCCATGATGAATGAATTCATGACAAAAATTGATCTGCAATAAGGAACTTGGAGATGCAAATGGGGCAGATAGTGAGTGACCAAAAATTTAGACCACAAGATACACTGCCAGGACACATAGAGAATCTGAAGTGAGATC